CCATGCAACAATCCCAATTTGAATCCAGGCCCTATATGCTTGAGAATTTTTAAAAAATTGCTGGGAGCTCCAAATACAAAATTCCCTGTACGAGTCCAGTTTTGGCCCTCCAACTTCACTGCTTTTTATTTGACTCCTGCCTATTCCATGAGAAATCCAACCTCTTCTTCCTTAAAAATCTGTTCAAACGTCTGCAGAAACATTTCTGTTGTACCAGTTAGGGTTGCCAACTGTATATGAAAAAGTGTGCATGCACTCGAGAGCTCATACATTGAATAAACCTTTGTTAGTTTTAAAGGTGCCACTGGACTCTACATTTGTTCTACTGTGACCATGGTATGCAGGTAGAGGGGGTTAAGTCCAGAGGGAAGACTCTTGCATGCAACAATCCCAATTTGAATCCAGGCCCTATATGCTTGAGAATTTTAAAAAATTGCTGGGAGCTCCAAATACAGAATTCCCTGTCCAGCTTTGCCCTTCCAACTTCACTGCTTTTTATTCGACTCCTGCCTACTCTATGAGAAACCCAACCTCCTCTTCCTTAAAAATCTGTTCAAATGTCTGCAGAAGCATTTCTGTTGTACCAGTTAGGGTTGCCAGTAGCTCTGGCTGGAAAATACCTGGAGATTTTGGGGGTGGAGCCTGGGGAGGGGGGGGGGGGAGGGTGGGGTTTGGGGAGGGGAGGGGCCTCGTCAGGGCATAATGCATTAGAATCCACCCTCCAAGCAGCCATTTTCTTGGTCGCCTGGAGATCAGTTGTAATAGCAGGAGATCTCCAGGTGCCACTTAGAGGTTGGCGATCCTAATTCCAGTCTGTTTTATTATCTCACTAAAAAGCCTTCTGGAAAGTTTTTAAAAATCACTATCACTGCACATACTAAAATTGTGGACAATATTCCTGCCCCCTATGGAGCTAGTAGTCAAATAACTACGTAGGATTTTTCTCTCTCACCAATGGCTCTGTACCTGATTTTTTCAGATCATCAGCATTGAATTGATAGAGGAGGTCATATGTGCCCCCCATTGACCCAGAAGTAATGTAATGAGTCCCGAAGTCATCAAATATCCGGCTGTAGAGGGCATAGTTGTACTCCAGAGGTAGGCTGTTAAGGGCCTTTAAGAACATGCCAGAGACCTGTAAGTCTGATGGATTCACCGTGAAGTTTGACACCACAACCTTCTTGCGGATCCTGATAAAGTTGGAGTTCTGAAAGAGAAGAATAAAAGAAGGGCCATCTTTCTTATACACCTTTCTCTTGCCCTTCTTCCATGGAGCTCAAGTCAGCATATGTAGTTCTTCCCCCCGCCCCATTTTATCCTCATAACTCTGTAAGAAAGGCTAGGCCGATTGTGTACGAATCCAAGGTCACCTAGCAAGTTTTCATGGCTGGTTAGGGATTTGCAGGGGTCATTTCATAGAAAAAGATGTGCAGGAGCTCATTAGCATAACTTATTAGCATAACTTATTTGCATATGCCACACCCCCTGCCATCACCAGAAGTGTGTCAGAAGGCAACACCCACCGGCGGCGGGCTCTTTTTGTAGCAGGAACTCGTTTGCATATTAGGCCACACACCCCTAATGTAGCCAATCCTTCAAGAGCTTACAGAGCTCTTCTTACAGGAGCTACTGTAAGCTCTTGGAGGATTGGCTACATTAGGGGTATGTCGCTTAATATGCAAATGAGTACCTGCTACAAAAAGAGCCCTACCGCTCAGGCTCCACTGGACTGTTTTGGATTGCTAGCTATTGGGGTGGGGGGAGTGCAGATCTGTCCTCACAGAGGAGGGAGAACTTTTATCTAAATAAACCTTGGTCTTAAAGGTGCCACTGGACTGTTTTGGATTGCTAGCTATGGGGGAGGAATGCACAGATCTGTCCTCGCAGAGGAGGGAGAGCTTGTACCTGAAGGCGGGCCAGGGGGGGGAGAGCTCTGCAACTTACCTGGCTGCTTCTTGCTCCTGATGGCCCAACTGAGGGCTGCAGGGGGCGGGGGCTTGTTGCATGTGCCCACCCCCTGGGCTCCTTACTGCTGGAGCTCCACTCCTGTGCGCTCCCGCAGGAAATGACCCCTGGCCTGGATTTGAACTCAGGTCTTCCAAATCCTAGTTGGACAGTCTAACACCTACACTGCAATGGGTCTCAATACTGTGCTCTCAACTGGTGAGGAGATGATGAGTTTTGTATAACTCAATGCTACAGGGAAGTTCACAAGCATACCGATGTCCCATGGTCACTTAATTACATGCCATTTGTTGACTTGCATCTGAAAAGGCATAAATTGGCTTCTTTAAAGGAGGCTTTTAAAGTTCTGTCTGAGCACAGAAGCCAGAACAAACACTGCATGGTAAGAACAAAAGAATTCTGTTCCTACAGCTGACCAAAGCTGCATCTAATGCATTTAATGCACAATTCTTCAGCAATGGCCAGCCAGATGTTTGGGAAGACCACCAGTAACACAACATGTTGCTTGCCCTCAGTGTCTGTCACTCAGAGGGTATACTGTCAGTGAACCTGGAAGCTTCATTTAGCTAAATTCAGTTAACAGACCTATCCACCATGGTTTTTTGTAATCCCATTTTAAAGCCCAATATAAGCTATTTTTATTTATGTAAAATATTCATATCCACCATTCTAATTGGCTCAGGGTATGTAACAGCAAGAAATTGAAATAATAAAAACAAAGGAAGCTTTAAAAAAAACCCTCACCCATTACAACCCAGATCTAAACGACAACAACCCACCAATATTCCAGTATTACAGACTGAAGAATTCATCAGCCCAATAATGGTCACGGTCACACCAGCGAGATAATCTGGGGGCGAAGCGAGGCCTTTTGCTCCGGAGCAAATTGAAGTGTAGTATCGCAATCAGACATTTCCCCCCAGGCTCCGTGCACATGCCCTCAGCCGTGATCAGACGTCGATGGTGAAGTGTGGCAAAGAAGGGCGAGGCAGTTCAGCAGTACACGTTTGTGCGCATGCACAGTTCCGCGTTTGCACGCATACCATGGGATACCAGCGTTTCCATGATCTGACGCCCGTGATCTGACTAGTGCACTTTCCCTGGTATCTTTTAACTCTGCTTCTTCGGCCAGGTGATACGGGTTGCTGACGGGTGTGGGACACTTGCCAGATGTTTTTGTGTGATCGCACCCATAAAATCCGCCCAGCATTCATCCCTATTGCACGGCTAATTCTACGTGTGACCAGACCCAATGATTAGCAGAAAGCCTTTGGGAACAGCCAAACCTAGGAAGAAAGGGATCCCATGTATGCCGTCAGGAAGCCTATTCCATAATAGCAGAGTAGCCACCGAAAAAGCCCTGCTTCTAACCAAGCTATTGGAATAGTTAAAGAAAATTAAAGTGCTTGCCACATATTGTGGTAATGAACTGTATCTGAAGCTTGAGCTTTTCCTCTTTACTGGTCTGTAGTTCCTTTCAATTGTAAATTACAGTTATTCTGGCCAGAATTACACATTCTATTTACTTCCCGTAAACAACAACCTCCCCTCTGCATGTCTCTTACTAAAATCTTTTCCTACTTAAAATCCTTGGCCATTGTTCCTGCTTTGACATAGAAAATACATTTCGTGTGCAAGAAAGAAGCTTATCTCTACAATGCACGCACCAGGAACAATTATGCTAACATTTTTTTCACTTGAGACTTCAGCCTTTAAAAAAAAAAAAAAAAAGAATGCCGTCACACACTTTACATTTTTTTTAAAAAAAATTATATTTGCAATATCCAGCCTTCCACATCTTAAGCTATTATGAACTCATTTAGGATTTAGATATGCACCTTAAATGGAAAACAATAATGTTGCACTATGATAAAACCCTATAATGTAGAACATGCTTTCCTAAATCTATCTTAACTACATAGCTGCTGCCAGATGTACTGGAGAGACAGGCAGGGAGATTGCCATCAGCAATGTCTGCCCAGAATTTGGCTTTCTTTGGAAGATCCTGGGGAGGGGGGCGTGGCTCAGGGGTACAGCACCTGCTTTGCACGCTGATGGTCCCAGGTTCAGTTCTCAGCAGCTCCCGTTAAAAGGATCAGATAATTGCTTCATGAATTCAGTCTGCTTGAATTGTATGCAAAAATGACTGCTGTGTTCACAATTCCCACTGTTGCTTCCCTGTATCCAGCACCTACCCCCTGCTGAAAAACCAGGTGGGTCCTTCATAATGACCCATAGATGCTTTATTTGTTGTTGTTGCTGCTGCTGCTGCTGTCAAGTTGCAGCTGACTAACGGCAACCCCAGAGGGTTTTCAAGGCAAGAGATGTTCAGAGGTCGTTTGTCATTGCCTGCCTCTGCATCACCACCCCAGACTTCCTTGATGGTCTCCCATCAGGGTTGCTAGCCTCCAGGCAGTGGCTGAAGATCTCCTGGGATTACAACTGATCTCCAAGCGACAAGACACTGAACTGCAGGCTGTGGGAGGTCGGTAGTTCATCAGTTCGAGACCCGAGTGTGCCGTATGACAGAGTGAGCTCCCGTCTCTAGTTCCAGCTCCTGCCAACCTAGTAGTTCGAAAGCAAGAAACTGCAAGTAGATAAATAAATAGGTACCACTTCAGTGGGAAGGTAACAGCGTTCCGTGCGCCTTGGTGTTTAGTCATGCCGGCCACATGACCACGGAAATGTCTTCGGACAGCGCTGGCTCTTCGGCTTTGAAACGGAGATGAGCACCGCAACCCTAGAGTCGGATTCGACTGGCTTTCGAGCAAGGGAACCTTTACCTTTACTAAGGAACACTCTCCAAGGTACACCTTAAGTTTCCAGGGCTGATACTTTTCTGATGCTGCAAGGAATAGGGTGACCCATAATAGTCCAGAACTTTGTGTGTGCCTCGTGGCTTCTGTGCAGGCACCAGGGCTTGAACACTTCCTCGTCTGTTACCGACAGCCTGAGTTCTAGATAAAAACACACCTTATAACAGACATGTATCCTAGAGTTTTATGGTGGTTGTATTTCCCCATTGTAATTTATATAATGCCCTGACCTGGATGGCCCAGGCTAACCCAATTTCACCAGATCTTAAAAGCTGAACAGAGTTGGCCCTGCTTAGTACTTGAATGGGAGACCACCAATGTGCCCTCTAAGCTGTTGTGAGCGAGCGATTTGGCCACTGCATAAATTAGTTTGCTCTGGAGCCATCCTCCCTGAGCTGAGACAAAAATGTGTGAGCCGGAGGCTAAAAAACTGTGAGCTGGCTCACACTAACTCAACTTAGAGGAAACACTGGAGACCACCCAGGAAGCCCAAGGTTGCTACACAGATGCAAACCACTTCTGGGCGTCTCTTGCCTTGAAAACCCTGCAGGGTTTCCGTGGCTTCACAGCACTTTCCACCACCAATGTATATAATATCAGGTGGGTAGCCATGTTAGTCTGAAGCAGCAGAACAAAGATTGAGTCCAGTGGCACCTTTAAGACCAAGAGACATTTATTCAAGGTATAAGAAGTGTGCATGCACACAATAGCTTATACCGTATCTAATATCTTCAGCTTTCCCAGTAGGAATCCCAGCTCCCTGGTCTAGAAACATTGCACAGGGGATGCTCTGGTATTTGGGCAAACTCTATGGTTTTCTGGCTGACATCATTGTGACATCCCCCCACCTCCCAGAACACCCCCCAAAGGCCCCCACCAGCAGAGGTAAGGGACCTGACAACCCTGTTTCACAGCAGCATCAGTAATAGGGTTGCCAAGTAAATTTTACTCACCGGCGGGGGAGCCTCGCCGCGCTCCGGGAGCCGTCCCTCGTTGTCCGCGTGACGTCAATCACAATGAGGGTGTGGCCCCGATCGTCGGAGGGAAAACCATAGAGTTTTCCCTCCGACGATTGAGGCCATGCCCCCAACGGAATCGACGTGGTTGCGTCACCTCTGGTGACGCAGCCACCCTGCGCTTCGGGGGGGCGGAGTTACCCCGGGGCCCGATTCCGCGGCAGCGGAAATCGGGCCTCCAAAGTGGGGGTTTACCCGCCCCCAATTGGCAGCCCTAATCAGTAAACAAGGAAGGACCGCTCTTATTTAGAAGGTACTCCAACAGCTTTGTTTGGAGTTTTAAAGACCGCTGATTTATTTCAACAAAAGTCTTTTTTTCAAAAAGGAAATCAGTAAGCCATATATGAATATTAATGTCTTTTGTCGTCTCCCAAGCAAACAGAATGGCTCACTTCAAATTCTTAATTAATCTGGTTTGACAGACTGCAGGCGTCAGGTAGGATTTCCTGCTTTCATACAATACAGATAATTCAGCACAGGGAAGGGTGGGTTTTTTTTAGTTAGCTGGGGAATAAAAATGGAGCCATTTCAAGATCTGTCATTCTAGCCAGAAGTCAGGTGTCACAGATGGGTAGAGTTGCCAACCTCCAGGTGGTGGCTGGAGATATCCCACTATTACAGTTGATCTCCAGGTGACAGAGATCGGATCACCTGGAGAAAACGGCTACTTTGGAAGCTGGGCTCTATGATACTATACCCCACTGAATTCCCTCCCTTCCCCAAAACCTGCCCTCCTCAGGCTCCACCCCCAAGTCTCCAGGTATTTCCCAACCCAGACCTGGCAACCCTACAGATGGAGACTAAAAGACAAAATAAGTTCAGTTTCATTATGGATGTCTAAGATATGGGACCGCTATATTTTAGGGAAAACTCACAAATAGACTATTACAACTTGAACATAAAAACTATCAATCAACTTTTTTTGAACAATGGTTTCCGGTCATAAGTTACATGGCACAGAATGGAATTATTCCTGACTATTTACTTTCATCTGAAGTGTTTATTCTATAAATCCCAGATTTAGAGTATGTTTTAATTTTGATCAATAAATATTAGCTAGTTGAACTCAAATTCTTACATTTATACAAGATGGTTGCTAACCCAACTGTATTATGAGTACACATGTTAAGAGCTTTAATTAGTTAAGTTTTAGATAGATATACTGCACAGAATATCAAGAATATTATTAAACAGTTTGCATTGTTTGGGATTCTCTGTATCAATTGTTTTATATTCATTTAATAAAATTATTTTAAAAAAATTAAAAAGACAAAATAAAGACAAGTCTACCTTTTTGTAGGAAGCTTTGACGGCTTCCTTAAAGGAGGATGAAAATACGAAGTCCGCTTTTTTGTTTTCCCAGAACAGAAACGAGACTTTAGCAGAGCTTATGCCAGGTGTAGAGGAAAGATGCTGTTGAGAGGAAGTAGAGTGCAGAGCAACCAGATTACTGTAGAAAGCAGATTCTACCTCGTCTTCCTTATTCTCGACCTATAAGGAGGCAAAATACAAAAACCTTTTTGAATGGCAAAATATACCTCATTAAGGGAAGAACTTAAGGAGAAGACTATTTCTTCTCAGTCGAGCACACTCCATATTTTTTTCTGCCTTGACCTGAAAAGACAAGATTACCATTTTCTTTCTTTTACATTGCTATAAAGTTCTACTAGATTTGAGCCCCTCACTTTCCAAAATCACATTATTTCAGCTTTGGGAACTCAAAACAATGCTTTCTCACATATGTTCGGATATTATTTCAATCTCAATGCTCATTCTCTCCAGTTTTGCTGTTTTTCTTATGTCTTGCAAGTACCAACTTTGCGTTTGAAAACTGTCAGGATGATGAAACCGGACTTCCAGTTGATGGCAGCACGCTAGCAGACTCACCTCCCGGACCTCCCGGGGGTGAAGCTGCGCTCCAGCCGAAGGAGGGTGTGTGCAGGCTCACTACTCCCCCAGGGACCCAGCTGAAGGGACCCTGGCCATGGAGCTCTTGAGAGGTTGCCTCTTCGACGGCGTAATGCCGGAGAATTGAGGCACCTCTCCGCTCTGACGGTTCTTCATGCTGAGCGACCGAATGGACTAAGTGACGCTGACTGGGGCAAGCGCAGGAGATCTAGCGTTATAAATGGAGTGTAAACGAGGTCCGTGGACCGATTATGAATGTGAGTCATTTAAGCATTGATTAAAAAGAAGAAGAAGAAGAAGAAGAGAAGAAGGATTGGATTTATACCCCGTTCTTCACTTGGAGTCTCAGAGCGGCTTACAAACTCCTCTCCCTTCCCCTCCCCACAACAGACACCCTGTGAGGTGAGTGGGGCTGAGAGAGCTCTGACAGCAACTGCTCTTTTTCAAGACAGCTGTGTCAGAGTTTGTGACTGACCCAAGGTCACATCAGCAGGTGCAAGTGGAGGAGTGGGGACTCAAACCTGGTTCTCCCACATCAGAGTCCACACACTTAACCACTACACCAAAAGAAGCTCCCCACCTCCACCCCACGGAACAGAAGATAAGGCGAGCGGGGGAGGGATGCCTCCCAAACGCATAGACTTTAGAGCGATTGAGGGGGGGAGCAGAAGTATAAATGGTTAAAACTGCTAAGGAGTACTTACCAAGGCGAGTGCGAGCATTTAAGCGCATATTCAGAGACTTTCAAAAAGTCTGCAAAAGTAAACAAAGCGAAAAAGATGGCGGGGAAGAGGACGAAGAAAGTGAAGCATCTGAAATTGAAAGTAACTGAGAGCCCAAAACCGGAAGGAGCCAATGAGCCGGCAAAGACTTTGGCAGACTCCATGCGCCACCTGCTGGACCAAATGAATAATCTCAAAGAGCAGATGACATCAATGACCCAGTGTATCACCACTCAACAAAATCAGATAAGCGAGACTCTGAAAATGATGAATCAAACAAATGAGAAGGTGAAAGAAGTGGACGCCACTACCCAAAAGGTGAAGAAGAAAGTTCAAAAATTGGAAAAGAAGCAAGTTTCTACAGAAGAGCAGTTGCTACAATTACAAATGGAAAAGGCTAATATGATCCTTTGCTTTCAGGACATGCCAGAGCCTAAGGGAGAGAATCTGAAGGAAGTGATGAGTGAAATACTGGTCCCAGTGGCAGAGATGAAGGCGGAATTTTTGCTAAGCAAAATGGATGTGGCCTATAGGTCATATTCAGGATACATAAAGAAAAATAATCTGCCTGGGGAAATTGTCGTAAGATTCTCAAAGAGGCATGTAAGGGATGCAATCCTGAAAGCAGTATCTGGAGCACCCCTGAGAGCTGGGGAGAGTGT